CGCTAAGACTGACAGGAAAATTTTATAAGATGGTGGTGAGACCTGCAATGCTCTATGGCGCTGAATGTTGGCCTTTAAAAGAGAAGCATAATAATAAGTTAAGTGTTGCCGAGATGAGAATGATTAGGTGGATGAGTGGCTTTACACTTAGAGACAAAATGCAAAATGAATATATTCGTGATAGGGTTGGTGTAGCTCCTGTGACAGACAAAATTAGAGAAAGTCGTCTTAGATGGTTTGGTCATATTAAACGTCGACCATTAGATGATCCGATTAGGAGAGTAGATGTTTTAGATTCGACTTGTGTTAAGAAAGGCAGAGGTAGACCTAGGAAGACTTGGGCTTATTGTATTAAAAATGATCTTAATTTACTAGAACTAAATGAAAATATGACACTAAATAGGACGCAATGGAGAAAAAGGATTCATGTAGCCGACCCCACGTAGTGGGATTAAGGCTTTGTTGTTGTTGTTGTTGTTGTTGTTGTCTTTTTTGTTCTTTTCTAAGGCTTTAGTGCGAGGCCTTGTAGATTGGTGTTTGTTCATGAACATATTTAGTAGTGCATGCTCTTAAGCTGATAGGAATGATCTCCTTACCTTTAAAAGCATCCATTACTTTGCTATTTCCATATGGAGCCATCTCTGCATCATAAAAAATTAGTGTCTCGATTAAAATGATTTGGAATTTTTTGGTATGTCCTATAGAAATTCAAGCGACACGGAGATTTTGGTTTTGCACTATTGACCTCATTTTTGATGAGATTTATTTTCTCTCTATATCTATTTTTTTAGAGTCTAGGATCTAGCCTTAGGACTTGCTTGGAGGTTACCGACTCTGGGCTTTCCACCCCACCCCACCTAGTCCTCCTCGTATCAATCTAATATAAATAAGTTTTTTTTTTGCTGATTAGGATTAGTTTTTACCGAGTTTCTGTCAGGACATGCGCTGGCTTACCCTTTTCTCTTCTTATGTTGTATCTGACAGAGAGAAAGTTCTCCGGTTGTAAATCGTCCGAGGTGGTGATCTTCTTCAAAAGTTCGAGGGGTGTTGTAACTTGACTCCGTAGAGATATTTATCCTTCATTCTCTTCCTCGCCGCCGCTAGCTCGCCACCAGCCCACCCCCACCCTTCCCATGCAATTTCTCTCAGTCGCCAATCCAGGAACCTTCCCCCTGTTGCTGTTGTACTTCACTCCAGCCCACCGAGAACTGCTGCTAACCCCTCTACTCTCCTAGGTATCATAACCCCTTCCCTTTACACATCTATTGTTGCCTCAGCCATTCCCACCCCCTGCTATTACCGCAATCCATGCCAACCTAATTCCTTCAACATTCTGCAGGCTGCAATCCCCTATGCCTTCCCATTTGCTGCTTTAATTCCTTTCCCACCATTCAACCTGCTGTCATAGATCCATCCTCAGACTGCCTAATCCTGTAGCCACCCTTTACTTACCTTCCTGCTACTGTCCCAACCCCAATCTACCCTATCTACTTGCCAGCTAGCCACCACCCATCCCCTTCACCGTCGCTCTAAGGTGTTTTTTTATGCGTGTTCTAGTTTTTGAAGAGTTGTCGTTGTAACCATTTGAATGTCAACAATAAGATTTGCATATGTATTGTGATTTTATTTAATTCTGGTATTATTTGATATTAGAGATAGGCTAATCCTAGTTTTATCCTAGGGTTTTCTTGTATCCGCCTCTACTCAAAGCCACTTCCACCAAAAACTTTCTTTCTCATTCCCAATCCATAGATAAACTTTTACCTAACCTTATTTTTTCTTGAAATCAATAACCCTAAATCTTTTTTTTCGTCTTCTTTCACCTCCGAACTCTAAACCCTAGTCATGCCACCAAAGAGATTCATGCACGAGCCTACCCGGGAAGAGATACAACGAGATATTCGTTTATTTTAGCGGAGGCTTGCGGACGAGGATGAAACCTATAGGGAAGCTACCCTTGATCATGACAGTTGAAGTCGAAGGGGTGAAAGAGATGAGAATTTCATAGGAAGGATTTCAATGATGAGGAAAACAAATCACGATGCTTTGAAATCCAGTACCAGAAGAAGCCACATTTGGAGGACATAGGGACTTCAAGTAAAACTGGATTTGTCAGAGTTTGATAGAGGTATGGATCCATATGAATTTATCGAATGACTACAATCAATTGAGAGGATCTTTGAGTACAAAGAGGTTCTAGAAGATAAAATGATCTCTTTGTAGTGGGAAAACCTGCAGAGATAGATGAATGGAGAAGGGTATGACAATATTATCAAGTGAGAGAAGATACGGAAGGCAATGCAAAGAAAATATCTACCTTCTCACTACCACCATGATATGTTTCTGAGACTCCACCACCTGCAACAGAGAGACCTATCAGCAGAATTCAAGACACAATTTAACCAGTTGTAGATGAAGTGTGAATTGGTCGAGCCAGAGGAACACATCATAACCCATTATTTTGGGGACTGAAGCTGCTATTAGCAAGTGGTACAACTGTAACTCTATTGGTTACTTGGAGATGTCTAGACCTTAACCTTGAAGGTGGAGAGATGGCATAGATAGAGCAGTCAACCATCGCCAGTCAGGCAACCACTCACAGTTGGAGACATGAACAGAGGCACGTCTCAGAGAGCTGAGAAAACTAGTTCGGGTTAGGACAACCACATAGAGTGAGAAAAAGCCAATGAAGACCCATGCCAGAAAATGATTTAGATATCATTGATTTGGGTACATTGCCTCTAGCTACCCGACGAGTCAAGTTATATCTTTTACCGAGCAGGGCGTAGTGGAGGAGGTTAGTGATGAGACGATAGTCGAGGAACAGGGTGAGGTGTATCTTCAACCGAATGAAGGGTAGATGCTCATGGTTTGACAGGTTCTACAAACTGAGAATACGAAAGATTCACAATGGCTTCTACACAACATATTCTACACATTGCATTTTGAGCGGGAAGGTATGCAAGTCTCATCATCGATGGAAAGACTAGCAAAAACGTGACATCTATACTTATGTTAAAGAAATTAAGCATTCCTGATTGTATTCCTTGACGTGACTGAAGGAGGAGAATAGAGTTAGCATTGATCGGAGGTGCCTAGTGGAGTTCTTGTTTGGAAGCAAGCTGCAGGTTCAAGTGTGGTGTGACGTGGTTCCCATGGATGTCTGCTACTTTTTGCTGGAGAAACCTTGGAAATTTGGCTATACGACATCACAACAGATTCAAAAATACCACGCCTTCACCAAGGAAGGGAAGCACATCATCCTTCTTCCTTCGGTAGAGCCCGAGGTTGCAAGAGCCCTTTTATAAAGGATGATAGGATTGAGACGCCGATTCTAGCCATGAGACAGTTACTACAACAGACATTTCAGGACCTCACGATCGATACCGTACTACTAGGGCCACCACCATTCAGGGAGGCTCGGGTTACTCTCACTTCAGATCAGGTTGATCCAACCTTCGGCTATTTTAGGAGAGGATTCAACATTATATGCGTGACACACAGACACGAGCCATATCAGTAGTGAGCTCCCAGAAGATTCAACCAATATGGGTGTTTGCTCGTAAATGAGGAACTGCCTACAACAATGCCATCACTGACAATCAGTAGACAGAAGTTTCGACGAAGGAGATCGAAGTTCTCCAATCTTGAGAGATTGACGCGGGGCTTTCATGTTGAATGATCGATTCAATAGGGTGCCAGTCCAGCAGGGATGCTGGTTCGGTCGACTTACTCTTGGCCGGAACTACGCCCCTCCCCTTCTACTACCTATCTAATATAATTATGTTCCTTTTGCTGATTAGGGTTAGTTTTTGTTGAGTTTATGCCAGGGCAGCTATCGAAGTAACCTTTCTTCTTCTAGAGTTTTATCTGACGGCAAGGAGTTCCGACTGTAACCCTTCCGAGATGGTAATATTCTCCAAAGCTTTAAGGGGTGCTCCGACTTTAACCGACTTTAACTTGAACCCGCATGGATATTTATCCTTCTGTCTCTTCCTTACTGCCACCCTTCCTATGTCGTGAAATGAACTTATCTATGCACCTATACTAGAATCTATATATCTTGTAGTCTAAATAATTTTTCTTAGGAAACATATAATGGAACTATTTAATATGCATATTTTTTTCTAACAATATGAAGAATTTGTTATAATCTAAATCTCACTGGACATAGTATAAATGAAATTAAGCGTACATTTAGAAATAAAAAAAAAACGGCTGAAGTTTAGAAATATAATTACTCACTTTGATTCTAAACAATTTTCTTACTTTCGACTTATGTCACCTCCTTAAAGTTAGCACTATAATATAAAATATTGAATTGAATAAATTTAACTGCAGGATTTTTGAGATTTCATTCAAATTAAGAATTAAATAGAAATTATTAATATTGAGTTTGAGATTTCATACCTAAGCCAAAGAAAAAAATTCCCATTTTTCTCATTTCTGCCTTGCCATAATTACAACACAAAGTAAACAAAGCTCATTTGAGCTCTTAAACTTTATGGAAGATCTTTACTTGAGCTATTTTTTACATTGGAAAGTTGATAAGGCTCGATCGGCAACTTCACTCACACGGATCAGCTTCTAATACCCTTCTCTTGCTCCCACAACTCAAAAAAAACTTGAGATTGTGCATCTCTACATGTGAAAGAGATCCATGGAGATATTCGAGCATAAAGGAGTTCGATTTCTCTCTTTCTCTTTGCCTTTGAATGACACACACGCCTGACTGAGCGTCTTACGCACGAAGGGACTTTCTTGCAAACCACATGAGCCTCTGGCACGCGTCGGAGCACGTGAATGGAAGGAAACAATGCACGCAAGTGAGCTGCTTGTCTCCTCGTCTTTCCTTTTCCCTTTCCCTTTCTTCTTCATCTAGGGAATGAGCTTCCCTCTTCTATTCAAAGCCGTTGGATTCATCTCATCTTCCGCATGCAAACATTGATGCAAGTAAGCCTTTGGCTTTAGCTTTGACTTCATTGGTTACAGAAAGTCGTCACACCTATGCTTCTGCCACTCCTTCCTTCCGTCGCTGCTCTTCTTCTCCTTCTCCTTCTCCTTCTCCTTCTCTCGTTTTGTTTCATTTGGTTCGATTCAAAAGAGACGCTTGGCTCTTAAGAGAGAGATGCTTCCCTAGAAAAAATTATTATTATTATTATTATTATTATTATTTATTTGTTTTTAAACACAATTATTCCATGTACTCTTTATTAGCAGCTAAAATAGAAACATGATTTGATAAATGTCAGAGTGGATTTAGCAATCTGACCACCAAAGTTTTTGTATAATTTCTTACATTTTTAATTCCTCAATAATTCTCAAGTTTTGATTTTTGAGAGACGTTTCTTTTGGCCTTGCCTAATTCTTCCTCTGTATATTATCAATCTTATGCAGCTTATTATATGGAGCAGAGGACCCATCAATTGCTGGCATGGTGTTGGATAGTGCTTTCTCAAACTTGTATAATCTCATGATGGAGCTCGTTGATGTTTACAAAATCAAACTTCCTAAATTCACGGTATACTTCTCCAATTGAATAGGCACATGTAATCTTTATATATATATATATATGTATATATATATATATATATCTGTGTGTGTGTGTGTGTTTGTGTCTTTTACCCTATTTTGACCTACAACTTTTGGGATGTAAAAGTTCAGGTAAAATGATAACATATTCAATTGTATCCATGGAGATAATTTCACTGTTATAGTGGTGCAATTCAGTTCTTCATATTTACATTCTTTTCTTGTTTAAACCATCTCATAGAAACAATCATTACTTGCTACTTTATCATGTCGTATGTTATCATTCCTACATCATGGAAAAAATGTTCATCATCTGATTCATTGGTTGTTTTGACTAATCCTGGATAAAAACTTCACTTCTTGTGTGATAAATTTATGTATGTTGCTGTAGGCAATTGTGTTTTATTTTTAAATTTTGTCTTTACTGAATATGTGATATATTTGACTCACTTGATTTCCGTCAAGATTTAATTTATAACTTACTATATAAGTTGGCACCAGTTTTCTTATGCTCTACCTTTTCTTGGTTCATAAAAATATTTATAACCAACTGGGATATGTAATAGAAGACAGCACTAGGGAAAAGATATTGTTATGTACAAGAAAATCTCAATCTTCAAGATGCTAACAAATTGAATGTATAAATTCTATGAGTGCAACGATATTAAGATGTTTTTCATAATATCATACGGTACAATTAGTTGTTCTGGTGAAGTTCCACCTCCTTGTTCTTGGACAAAACACTATAGATTCCATTAAGATATTGTGTTTATTTAAATATGTTACTTTCGTTGTTCTTTAAAAGCAAATGCATTCATTTGTACAAAAATATTCTTGCGTAGCTAAAAAATGCCTTGCAAGATTTAGACCAACTAATCAATAAGCAGCTCTACTTGCGATGAGAAAGAATGGCCTTTTTTTAGCTTTAACAATTCATAAGAAAAAATCCTATTGTTTCTTACATGGAAGCAGTAATGATGATTATTATTTCCAACTTGCAACCATTTTTAACAATTTATTCCTACTTATGGTAAGGCAACTTTCACTTAATGTTTAAGAGAGAGTGGACATTTCGTTTTGCTACCTTTTTTCTATAGTTCTTCATTGTCAGCCCTTAATAAATTAGTGTGAGCCTCACATTATCATCATCGCAAGTCATTTAAAAAAGAGTTCTTCCCTACCGCTTTTTATTATAGATGTGTCCTAAAAGCAAATAAAATTTAGCTGCAATATCTATTTAGGCATTAGATGAGCTAAACAACAGTTGTGAGGTGAGGCTTTTACTTTTCTTCTTAGTGCCAATTCATATGAATTCTAAATAAAAAACCTTTATGATTTATCCTTTTGATAGCTAGAATATATGTTTTTGCACCATATTAAATAAAATGCAAGTTATATGCTATATAACTTAATAAAATACATATAGAAAGTTAAAAGAGCCATTCAACATTATATGATAAGCCTTTTATAGTTTTTCATTAAGATAGAATAATATGAATCATTTAATAGCACAAACAATGTGATGCGGCACACGTACCGCTGTGGCTCCCATGATCATGGGAGAACCAACCTGGATGATTTCTTTTTTGTTTTCTTTCTATTTTTCAGCAATTTTGTTTTTATCTTCTATCATTTCTCGCTCTTTCCTATTTCTCTAATTTCTAATTAGGTATTCTCTATCAAGGGATTTTTATATAGTTTGTAATAGGTTTTTGGAGTTTTCGGTTTTTGAGTTTATGTATTTTGGAGGTGCTTTTTTCGATTTCTGCTTTCTGGAGTGTTGTACCCAATTCCTTTTGCAAGTGGTGTACTTATAGCTTGCTCAGGAACAGGTGGTGGATCCTCCTTGCTGTCTACAACTCGTCCATTCGCTGTTCGACCCCTGTTTTCAGCTGGGACAGCCGCCGAGCTCCTCCAATCTGCTGTCCCAGCAGCAGTCTCATCTCCTTTTCGTTCCCACACACCATCTATTCACCGTTTTCAGGCAATAAGCTTCGACGCCGCTACAACCTGTTGTTCACTGCAGGAAATCACCTTTTTCTACTTCTAGTTCGCTGTCCCGCTGCTATTCATTCAGTCTTTTGCTGCCATCCATCATTACCACCACGTAATCAATTCTATAGTTTTTCCAACACCTTTTATGCTTTATCACAACCTATAGGAACTGAATGGTGTCATTTGGTATCAGAGCTAGTCAGAGCCAGGGTGATTCAGTTGGAAGAATGAAACGCTATGCCACCATGGAGAAAACCTCAACAAGGTGCCCAGGAAATTACCATGGAAGACATGGAGCGGGAAATCCTCCAATTGCAGCAAATGTTCGTTGATTTTGAAAGAAGGCAACATGTGGAAGTCACCCACAATAATAATGATAACCACCCAAGTGAACAAGATGAAGAAAACCCCTTCCACGAAGAAGCTTCAAATGACAGAGACTGATGCTGCACCGATTTGAAATTGAGTATAGAAGGAGAGGGTGATTTTGGAGTCAAAGTGAATCTACAGTATTTCGATGGCCACATGAATCACGATGATTATGTTGAATGACTACAGGCGCTGGAACCAGTATTTGAGTGTAAAGATGTTCCCAACGACATAAGGGTAAAACTCATCGTCATCAAGCTAAATAAGAGTGTGTCTCTGCGGTGTGAAAATCTGAAGCACCTACGTTAGTATGAGGGAAAAAAGCAAAATTACTATCGGGTCCAAGTGAAAAGGGAAATACAGTGCAAGTATCTACGAACGCATTACAGGTAAGATGTTTTCTTGGGGCTTCATCACTTACAAGTAGAAAAGCAACTTATTTTGAAGTGTGCAATGTGGAGCCTAAGGAGAGTACCATCGCCTGATTTCTGGGGGGATTGAGACTATCTATTGGCAATGTATTATAGTTGCAATCATATTGGATATTATAGGATGTCCATACCTTAGCTCTAAAGGTGGAGAGACAACACCGCAGCATCAGGTCCACACCACCTTAGAAATTGGAGGCCAGCTCTTTGATCATGTAGCAAGAACACACCGACCAGAGTAACTAAGCTTACCCCTCGTGAAGAGAAACCATCACAGAAGGAAAAATGTATTGACCAGACCTGTAATCCAAAACATGGAAGTATTTCAAATGCCATAGATACAGATACATGACATCCAACTATCCAAATATGAGGGTGATTTTCTTTATAGAGCATGTGGCAGTAGAGAAGGTCGATAGTGAAGACCTAGATGAGGAGAATAAAGAGGAGTACCAACTACTTTCAGATGATGGTGAAATGCTTGTGGTTTGACAAGTTCTCCAAACTGAGCTAAGATGGATCAACAGTGGCATACGCATAATATCATTCGTACACATTGTACTGTAAAGGGGAAGATGTACAATCTCATTATAGATGGAGACAGTTGTGAAAATGTGGTCTCTACACAATTGGTAAACAAATTGAGCCTCAGTACACAGAAACATTCTCAGTTGTACTCTCTTGACTTATTTGAAGTAGGGAAATTAGATTTGTATCGACAAGAGATGCCTGGTGTAATTTTTATATTGTAGAAAAGTTGTAGGATCATGTATGGTGTGATGTAATTCCTATGGATGCATCTCATATTCTGTTGGACCGACCTTTGTTGTACGACAGATGTATGTTTCGTGATTGCCACAAAAATACTTACATATATAACAAGGATGAGAAGCATATTGTATTTCTGTCATTAAAGATATCAACAATGATGAGCACTCAGACTAAGATTACAAGCTATGAGGTATCAGTATGACCGGTCTTGGTAATGCTTGAATTCATTGATACAGAGAAGCCAATATGTGAACATGTACGTCCCTTGCTAGCAGAGTTTCAGGACGTCCTGTCGGATAGTATGCCACGTGGATTGCCACCTTTGCGAGATCCAACATGTTAGAGACCTTATCTCAAGATTAGTGCTTCCCAACCGACCAACTTATTTGATGGGATCAACAGAGTCTGAGATGTCACACCCCAATAGACCCCTATTTAAGAGTCGGCTGAGGTGCGACAGATGCTTGTAATTTGGTCAGACTAACTCTCACTAGCACTCGTCCTGACTTATGGTCAGACCAACTCTCACTAGCACTCGTCCTGACTTATATAATCAGGACCCAATGGGTAATGAATTAGTCTAACTAGATTGCCACAATATACATGATATATTGTCTTTTACAATTCATTCATATACATACTCGAAAGTATGAAAATCATGTCATCCAAAACATGAAAACTATACAGAGCTGTTAAATTTAATATACTAAAAGTACATACCAAAAACATATGTACAAGCTCCCAAAATTATCGTGCAAAAACTGTACAAAATACACCTGACTACTCGCCCTGGTGCTCGTTGTTTCTATTTGGAAGGTAACAATGAAGAATGAACAACAACGAGCTTAAAGAAATAATTAGGACTAACATAAAATTTTATACATAAAAAAGAAACAATGTGTATGCTCGTCTGAAACTGTACATGTCTACACACAAGTCATAACAGATTAGCATAGTAGATAACATTAAAAAATAACAGATAGTATAAAAATCAAGACTGTAGTGTAAACATGTATGTTATAAACATGAAATCAATTAAAAGCATGTTCATAGTCATGTTCACAAGCTATTTATCGTATATAATCATAACATATCATTTTATAGATGTCTTTTTATATTAATGTCACTTGTAAATGTATAAGAAAAAAATATCTTCATGTTTTTTCATCATAGATCATCACCCTGACGCACATGTCATATAAACTATTGATAAAGATTGATAACATTTATCAATAATCTTCTGATATACACGATTCCCTAACGTTCTGTTACCGTCTAATACTAACTATTCTCAGAGTTCCGTCATTGTATAAATATCACAAGTCGGGTATACATCCTGCATAGTGTGCTTGCAAGCACATATGTAATATTCTATGCATAAAATTACTCGTGACATTTAAATCATCATTCCTACATCAAAATTTAT